AAGCTTGTCACAGCCCAAGCTGAGTGGAGACATCTGGGTGTTAACAGTCTTTGAGGAGGTCACTGTGTTGTGCTGCACATTCACGGACACTGCAGGGGGACAGTAGCTTGGGCAGGAAACTGGGATCACAGGTGAGAGTTGAGGAGCAAGGTGGAGCTGGACAGACATACATACATCGGGACATTTCATATAAGCATGCCTGAGCAAGTACATATGCATGGGCACAGACAGGCAGACAGACACACAGACACAGGGCTCAGAATCAGAGCTTCCAGGGTCCCCCTGAAGCCTCCTGAAGCATGTATTTTTTTTTTTTCCTCGAGACTGGGTTTCTCTGTGGCTTTGGAGGCTGTCCTGGAACTAGCTCTTGTAGACCAGGCTGGTCTCGAACTCACAGAGATCCACCTGCCTCTGCCTTCCAAGTGCTAAAGCATGTATTTTTATTTGCTTTATTTTAGAGACCACGTCTCTCTTTGTAGCTCTGGCTGTCCTATGTAGACCAGGCTGGCCTCCAGAGATCCACCTGCCTCTGCCTCTCAAGTGCCTCTCATGTGTCAGCATGTCCCTCCTGCATGCAATTTTTAAAATGCCCACAGTTTACAAGGCATGCTCACATTAGTACACACACAACTGTTCCAAGCTGACCGGTGTGCCATGGGCTGCATGTGGAGCAAAAACACGCTGTCCTACAGGGGACACCAATAATCACAACTTCTGTTTTGGGAAGAGTGGTGGCCTTTGAGTCCATCCCACTCTTAGTACTATAATAATTCTGGATTTATTTTATTATTATTTTTTAAAGATTTATTTATATGTTCTACATACAGTGTTCTGCCTGTATGCATGCCTGAAGGCCAGAAGATGGCACCAGATCTCATTACAGATGGTTGTGAGCCATTATGTGGTTGCTGGAAATTGAACTCAGGACTTCTGGAAGAGCAGCCAGTGCTTTAACTACTGATCCATCTCTCCAGTCCCTAATTCCGGATTTAAAACAAAACAAAACCCAGCTGGATGTGGTGGCAGACACATTTAATCCCAGGACTCAGGACACTGAAATAGGGCTAACTTGCCCCAGTGAGATGGTGTGTTTTGGACACTAGTGGGTGTTGCTCCCAGGAACTGCCTTCATTTCTTTGACCCATGTCTTAACAGACTATAAGGTTTCTGTGCCCGTGCCTCAGCGAAGGCTGTGGCCACTGAAAACAAACAAGAAATAAGCCATGTCTTTGCCTGGGTGTGTAGATGGGAAGCATAGGTCCCACTAGAGCCAGGAAGGTTTCAGGCAGGGCAAAGGCTGGAATAAGTCATGGGACCCCCTGCCACTTGGAGTTGGGAACTCTCTCTGAAACTCTCTGGATGCAGAATGGAACAGAACCAAGATTGCAGTGGGTCTCAGAGAAAAGGGTTCTGCTTGGGGTCACCTCCAGATCACAGAGCACCCCGTGTGGATTAGGAAAAAACACATTCTCTCTGAGGCCATAGCAGAGGCCCAAGCCTTAGAAGCTGCCATGGACAGGCACCGTGTGGAATGTACTCCTGCATCTGCCTGGTTGGGGACTGGAGGAGACAGCAAAACCCAGATGGGTCTGTGGGGTCCAAGGACAGAGTATAGATTTATGCCACAACTCCAGGAGGGGCCTTCTGGAGCAGCTGGGGGTATAGTGGCCCCAAGGACAATACCGGGACTTGGCTTCAGTCACACTGCCACCTCCACACTCACATACCAAGACTCAGCATGTGAGATCTGCCAAAGCTTTGCTGGGGCTGAAGAGAAACCCCAAATGAACTGAAATATCTGCCCCTGGCGCCATGAGGACTCAGCGGAACACTCAACTGAGCTAGCAAGCGTGACAAAAGAAGCAAGCGGCCTGCACATGCTGGAGCTCTTAACTCACTTCTATTTTTACCTCCAGGTTTGACATGATTTGCTGGATGAATGCAGGGCAAATGACAAATACCTGGCATTCCTCTGCAGCCTGCATTTCTTCCTGCTGATCAGGAGCCAGAAGTGTCCCTGACAGGAATGCTGATGGATGGCTAATAGCAGGGGAAGAGCCAGCTCCAGCAGCTCCCAGAAAGATCACATGTCAGGAAGAGCCCATTGTCTGAAAGTCAACGGAATTTCTATAAGGCAAGGACATAGCCCCACATAGGAATGAAGACAGCATTATTATTATTATTATTATTATTATTATTATTATTAATCGTCATTAATATTGTGTTTGCATGCTTGATGTGTGTGGATATGTGTGTGCATGTGTACACACACAGATGTGCACACATGCATCCGTGGTGGGGGTCAGAGGACCACTTTATTGAGTTCAATGTTCTCCCATCTCCCGTCTTCAGGTCACCAGGCTTGAAAAGACATCCCTTGCTTTGAAACAATGGAGTCCCCCAACTTGGGATCTCATGTCAAGAAAGAAAAAGTTGAAGTTTGGTGCAGCCAGAGGAGGTTCTCTTCTCCCAGGAAGAAATTTCTCACCCTATGGACAACTGTCAGACCCCCTTGCAGGATAGAGGAGAGGAGACTATGATGGACAACCACACTCGACCAGGACTGCTCAGCCGCGCATACCTCTGGCCTGTATTTTAGCTTTATCTCATGTTAGGACCCTGAAGATGGACTTGGGGGTCACTGGGCCTCTCTGTTCCTGGTGTGGCCACACTGAATAAATCTCCTTTCTTTGCCTTTCCATGTCACTATCTGTCTAATTGGCCTACTGAGGACTGGTGGCTGAGCCTGGCTGATTTCAGCTCTGACTGTGTCAGCTGCAGGAGCAGGCCTGCTCTGGGTCGTTGGTGAGGCTCACACTCTTCATCGTACAGTCTGCACCCAAGACGTGGGTTCCTTCTCCCCTCCTGTGTTTGGATAGTATCTCCCAGTTGTCTGTCCTCTCTATGGCCAAAAGGTCAGCAACTGCTGCTGTTGGCCACTGGCTCTGTCCTGGGGTCAGAGTCCCTGTTGTCTTCTAGGCCACTGTTTGGATCTCAGTGGTGGGTGACCTTCTCACATTGCCTCAGCTGTTGGATCCACAGTGACATCTTCTCCCTGTCTCCTGGCCTGGGCACCTGGCACTGATCCTCATATTGCCAAGGTCAGCTGGCCCTGCTTGCATTCCCACCACCATGACACTGATCAGAGCCCAGGCAGGGGCCCTTCCCTCCCTGTCCCTGAACCCAACCCAGTGTGTGCCTGCCATTGAGAGGTGACTGCGGAAAGGGGCTTGCCCAGCATCTTCTCTGTTGCCTGCAATCCTAGACCATGCCTTCCTATTTCTTTCTGGGATGCTTGTGGGTGTTTTCCTTGCTGAAAGGGATAAAAAATGCCAAGCAGAGACAATAAATGAGGGATTTCAGGGTATTTTATTGAAACACGGTGGGCCAGTGGGAACTTGAGCAGCAGGAGATGTCCAGATGCCCACCGCCTCCTTTCCCTCTTCTATTCCCACTAAGCAACACTCTACCTCAGTCAAAGGTCAGGGTCAGTGACTTGGATTTGGGATCAAATGTGACAGTGGGAGGAGAGATTTTTTCAGAAACCAGGAGGAAGTGGGTTGGGCTTGGGATTTAGGTGACAGGAGGACTGAGCATGACCCAAAAGAACTGAGGAAGCAGAGGTCACTTTGCACCTCTGGGTTCCAGGTGGTGCCACCTGGAGCCCTGTCCCCAGGAGTGTGGGTTAGATGGCTGAATGCCATGCTACGTTCCCCTCTTCTGTTCTCTGCTAACCTAAGACACTGCACACTCTACTTGCTACATGACACTGGGTCCCAGCTTTGTGGGCTGGGCAGTGGGAGCAGGCGGCTTAGCCCTGGAAGCCCAACTCCTTGTACTTGGCGGCAATGTCATTCCGGAACAGCTCCAGGGCTTTGCTCATGGCACCCTGAGCGTCATCTCCAAAGTCCCCAGAATGTCTGCTCTTCAGGACCTCGATGATGCTTTCTGAGATAAACTGCAAGAAGGGGACAGGAGGTTGTAAGTCATGGTACTGAGCAAGCCAGGAGCCAAGAATGTCCACCCACTGCCCTCCTCTTTATTCCAGGACCATTTCCTGGGCCCTTACAATGTCCAGGTGGCATTCCATGCAATTATTGTGAATCAATTCCTTTAAATGCCACTACCACCAGGAGGCAGGCGCTATCACCATCCCTGCTTTGTTGATGGGGAAACTGAGGCAGAGAGGTGTGTCAAAGACTTCAGCTGTGTGCTGAAGTCACACAGCCAAGAAGGGGTACTTGAACCCAGGATGTGTTTCTTGACCCCCCCCCCCTTTTGAGTGCAGGATGCATGACCAACGGCCAGCCCACAAGAGCTCATAGGTAGCAGACAAGATACCTTGCTCAGGACGCTAGCCCACCCGGGATCTGTGATCAACCAGGACACCCAGGAGGAGGCTTTACCATCATGTGCATTTCATCTCTGAATTCGGGACTAAGGATGACTGTTGACTTATGATCACACCAAGCAGGTGGTCACAGGTACTGACAAGGGAAGGGACAGGTGATATCAAGCACCCCCATTGCCCAGATGGAGATGGGCATCTGTGTGGGACCGCCCAGAATCCAAAGGCTTGGATGAAACTGTCTCAGTGCTTACCATCAGTGACTTGGGCTTTGGTCCCATACAGCCTTGGCTGCTGTACTAAGTGGTGGCATTTAACGGAGGAGACTACAAGTGGCCTGGTTGAGGTCATGTAGCAAGTGAATAAGAGCTGAGGTTGGTCCCAGGGACTGTGGACCTGCCCCTGCTAGCTCAGGAGTGCAGATGCTGTTCTGATCTTTCTCACTGGACCCTCAAGTGACACAGCAGGAGGCACCAAGGGACACATGTGATACATCCAGAAGGCACAGGGCTTGCCTCACAATCCACAGATACAGCAAAGATGGTGGGGCCTCGGTCTGTGGTACCAAGCCCAACCTCGGGGAGTGACCTTGCTCTGCCCTGTGACTCCAGCTGCAAAATGGGGATTGAGAGGACCCCCTGGGGCTCCTGGCCTGGCTTCTCTCCAGGCCACAGTAGAGCTGGACCATCACACCCCATCATGGAGTGGGGCATGCATTGGAAAATGGAAGGTGCCCTTGGCTCCCACAGCTCTCCAACAGAACCCTGAGTGGGAATCCTGCCTCTGTGACTTGCACGAGCAGTCTGTGCCTCCATTTTTCCGTCTGTCCAGTGGGTACAATAAGGGCTCCTGCTGATGTGGAGAAGGCAAGTTATGTGTCAGTCATTTGTCACATTGAGGTGCTCGACCCAGCATTGGGAGCCAGACACTGAATCAAATGCTAGCTGTGTGAGTCCTCAGTGCCCTTGTGAGGGGAACAGAGCTGGGGCTGGTTGCAGAGGAGAAAGTGGGTTTGAGGGGGGAGGAACCAAGAGTGGCTGAGCTGGGATTTAACAGCGGCCACCTACCTCCAGGTACTTGACTGGGATCTTGTGCTTGGTGGCATGTGACTGGGCCAGAGGCTGGATCTCTGCAGCATGCTGTCCCTTCTTCTTCAGGATGACCCCCAGGGCTGTGAGCACAGTGCAGCCATGCTTCTTTAGGTCCTCTGAGGCCTTCATTTCATCTTCTGACTTCAGGTTCTTGAACTTGTCAAACTTGTCCAGAGTTTCGGGGTGGTTCTTAAACAGCCTAGGAGACAAGGATGGATGGAGTGAGATGTCTGATGTCTGAAGGATGGTCTGAAGGCCACCAGACTCCAGCTGTATTTCTTCCCAGCTGTGTGATCTGAGCCAATTCGCCACACCTCCCGATGCTTCAGTCTTCTCTATGAATGGGGATGGCTAACTGATCTAATGAGATAACGCATCTGTCGTCTGGCACAGCCTGTGGGATAAATGCCTGCTGTTCTTTTGTTATCATTGATACCATCACCCTCCTAGTCTCTTGGTCACTGAGAGGGGCAAGGGCAGTGACATCCCTGTGTCCTCCCCCCATGTTCTCTGTTATCCAGAGAGTGGGGTGTGCTGTCAGCTCTACGCTGGGCTCACACCTATCTTCCATGTTATCCACACTCTTCCTGTTTTATAGACAGGGTCAGGACTCTGAAATGGAATGTCTCCAGCAGGATCTCAGGGCCAGTGTGCAGAAAAGCCAGTCAGCCTTGGCATCTAGATGACTCAGAAGGCCACCTGAAGGCCTCTACCTGAAATTCTAGACCTCCTGGCTAGGTGTGGCTGCTGAGAGACCCCTCTACACCAGCATAGACTTCACCCATTTTCCAATGGTGATGGCAAAGGGACCCACCGAAGGCCACATTTGTTCCTGCCTGCCACCCTGGGAGCTCTGGTTTCACACTGTCAGGGACCCAAGCCCTGCTCTGGGAAGATGGTAAGGGCTACAAGGGTCATCATTCTTCCCAGATGAGGCTAGTCCCTGGTCTACTTGGAGGTAAATAAAACATCATTGGGGCTGGAGAGATGGCTCAGGGGTTAGGAACACTGACTGCTCTTCCAGAGGTCCTGAGTTCAATTCCCAGCAACCAGGTGGTGGCTCACAACCATCCCTAAATAGGATCTGATGCCTTCTTCTGTCCTGCAGGCATATGTGCACACAGAACACTATACACAAAATAAATAAAGAAATCTTTTTTAAAAAATAAAAAATAAAACATCATTCAGGGCAGTGACCTGCCTGGGTCACAGCAGGTGGGTAGCTGAGAACCAGAGCCTCTAGAGCCCCACCCTGATGTGTTTATCAAGGTGAGCCTGGCTACGCAGGTTCTGCGTTATCCTTTTAATACCTCCATGAGCACAGACATTCCCCTTTGTGCACCAAGCTGTGTGGGAAGCGCCTGGACCCCACGGCCCCTGCCCCACAGTCCCATGAGGAGGACCTCCTATGACCAGAACACCAAGCTGCTTCATCCAACCCAAGAGCTAGGTCTAGCTGCTGGAGTTACCTTCTCCATGATCCCCTGAGTTTGTGACCTGCTGATACCCCCGACTCTTCTCTTGAGGTGCCCATCTCCCTGTGGGGACAATGGGGCCTGTGTCTGTGTGTGTGGGCAGGCTGGGGGTGGGGGGCTGGTGTTCCTCCTCTGTTCCAGTCTCCCTTTCAGGCCTGCCAGTCTGGTTAGGACCCCACAGTAGGGGACAGGTGGCTTCTGAGTTTTGAGTGAGAGCATGAGCACTGCCTACAGAGTTTGAACACAAAAGACATATGTGTTTAAAGCACTTTGTAGGTTTTTACCTGCACATTTCCTGAATCCCCACGCCTGAAGCAGATTCTGCCATTATGTCAGGTCACAGAGGAGGAATGGGGGGGGTCTAGGGCAAAGCCAGCAGAGGAGTGTAGGGCCCCTGTCTCTCAGTGCATGGCCAGACATCACTGGACAATAAGGGCACAACATTCCACAGTGGGGATAGTCCCATAACACTAGTGGATGGGTGCCTGACGTAGCTGCCGAGGTCAGCCGATCTGTGCCTCTCTTCCACACCCACAGTCATTCATCACAGACAGGCCTTCCCACCACTCAAGTGCTCCACTATGTGTCAGTCAGCAGTTCTGTTGACTACAGGGTCCCCTGATGTGCCCATTCCAGCTGCATGGGCTCAGGATCACCCATGAATTGCTTGTTTGTTTTTTTACACAAATTACTTCTTGCCATCACTGTAGCACACTTCTGAGAGAGCTTGGTGTTAGCAGACTCCATGTGACAGCTGTAGAAACAGGCACAGGAAGCCTGAGTGTCCCGTAGGGGTTTAACTAGACCTCGTGGCTTTCCCTTCTCTGTGAGCCCTATCACAGTCACATTTACAAAGGCATCCCCTTTGTAAATGATAACATACAAACCTACCCCCTCCACATACACACATGTGCTCAGAAGTGTGCACGCTTGTGCACACTCGTGCATGTGTGCGCACACACACACATCTGTTCTTCATGCCTGTGAAGAGCCATGCACACAAGCTGGTGCCATGAAGACTGGGTGGATCTGTCCCTAGCCTTGGTTGTGTCTGGGAGCCCATCCAGAGTCGTATGCGTCACTGACAACTTGTCTCTGGCACCTGGTCCAGGGTCCCTGAGCTCCTGACTATTATTATCTAGCGACAATGATCCTTGAGTTCCTGCTGACAGATGGAAGGCCTGACACCCACTGGTGAGCCCAAGGTCACCAGGCTGGATGGGGAAGAAGGGGGCAAGAACAGGGACTTGAGGCTTCAGGCTTTTGGAGCCACTACACTCTAGGTCTGGTTCAGTCTCCAGTGTCCTGTGTGATGCTGAAACAGCCACTCAGCCTTTCTGGGTCTTAGCTCATTGAATGTAAGCCAAAATGGTTGTTTAGGTGATTTCTCAAAAGCTTGCCCCAATCTTGTCCTCCCCCAACACTAGGCAGAGTAGAAGAGGCTTGCTCTCATCACAGGAGTAGAGGTACAGGCCCTATATAGGCACTTGGCTCCCTGAACCCCAAGTCTCACAGATGGCTCAGAGCCCAGGCCCTTGGATTTCCCTGAGCACACCTGACTTGGCTCCTATGGGAGAGACCAAGGATGTTTTCTCAGGGTCCCTTTCTTCATCCTATTGCCAGGTGACCAGGCTCAGCTAACAGGCAGTCAGGCTAGTCAGAGAAGTGAGGCTGCCCCTCTGCTGGTCTCTGAACAGCTGCCCAGTCAGAGCCCAGTCTAGGAGCACATGGGGGTGGTAGACAGAAAAGCTACCAAGAGCATCGGCTACAGCCAAGTACCCTGTATTCTTACTAGCTATGCAATTCGGGATAAGCTGCTAAACCTCTCAATTAGATGTAATACGTGAGTTCATAATGGTATTAATAACACAGGGGCTTGCTGTGTGAGACTTCCTCCTCCTCATCCCCCCCTTCACCACCACTATCACGACCAGGAGTCATTCTTAGGGGTGGCCCATCACTGACACGGTTGGTTGAGACTGTGAGTCACTTCTCTCATTATTCGAGAAGTTGCTATCCCCAGAAGTGGTTTCCAACCCTTTCTTGGCTCCTAAATCCTTTCCCCAACAAAAATGTCATTATAGGGGTTTGGGACACAGCCCAGCAGATAAGAGCACTTGCTACTTCCCCAGAGGAACCAGGTTCAATTCCCAGCACCCATGTGGTGGCTCACAACCATCTGCAACTCCAGGTCCGGGGATTCAACACCCTCTTCTGGCTTTTTTGGGCACTGCATGTATGTCATGCATATCCATATATGCAAGCAAAATACAAAGAAAATAAGTAAATATTTTAAAAATGCAGGTTTAAATGAACCTGAAAAGATCTGGGAAAAAGAGGTGAGGCTCAAAGGGAGCCACCCCCTTCCACCTGGAGTTCTCAGCTCTGCTAGCTGCTGGATCTCCTTGTTCTAGAACTCTGTGATTACCAGCCTAGGCCTTGGAGTTCTGCTAAGGTAACTTGGAGAAATGACCTTGCTGAGGTCAATAGACAAGGCTGGGGTTGGTGTCTGGGACAGGAGCCCAGTGTCCGTGGGACACTTGCTACCCTGAGAGTTGGCATGACTTCTTGGGAGGCCACCTTCCTGCACCGCCAACAGGAGAAGGCAGGAACAGCTGGTGTGGCCCCATGGCCCAAGTCTGAGACATGGTGGGATGTTATGCCCTTGAGGCTTTTCAGGGCCAGCTGCCTGGGCATCATGTCCCACCTGGCCTGGCTCCTGATGAGCCTCAGTTGCTCCCCTGGGGAGGGAAGAATGCCTCTCTGATGACACAGTACCTTGAGTTTCCTTCAAAGCCCTAAGTCACTGCCCAGGGCTTGGCAGCCTTAGTATCTTGCAAGACACTGTTCTGCCAATCCCCCCCCCCCCACACACACAATAGCCTGCTGTTCACAGCAACAGAGCACAGAGAGTGGGCAGGGATCTCAGAGGCTGTGGTAAACAGTCCAAAGCAGAAATAGGGCCTAGAGAGGGGAAACAAGGTGACACAGGAAATCTATTGCCTAAGAATTGATACCAACTTGGGGTAGGGGTTAGCTCAGTTAGACAGGCCTGTAGGCCCAGCATCTGAGGATGAGTTAGGGAAGAAAGATGGGCAGGAAGAACTAGCTGTTCCAGCAGATGCCCAGCCTCCTTCTAGTATGGCCACATAAAAAGGGTTCTGACCTCAGATGACCTTGTTCCCAAGCAGAGGGGCTAGAAATGAACAAAGTCCAAGGGAGTATGTAAGACCATTGCAATCAGGAGGGAGACTTACCCTGGATCATAAGTAGCAGGGAAATTCATTTCCAAACTACAGTTTCAAAGACATTGCAGGGGCTGATAGCAACAAGGCCACCTCCTCCCAGAGCCAAAAATAATCACTCAAGGATATCCCACTAGGCTCCTGAGCCAGCTAAGCCCAGAGCCCAGGGAAAAGCCCCAGCATTTGAGTGAGCCATGGGAAGTGAGGCCCTGTTACAAGCCTCAGAACCCTCCACTTACCCCGGCTCAGAATTGTGAATTTTCTGGGCAGATTTAGGAGATCCTTGCAGCAGAAGGCAACCACACACTCCAAGCTCTCAGTTCACACTAGTGGACCTGACCTCTTACAGCCCTCGATATTCTGGCTGCCTGCCATGATAAGCTCCTTCTGGTGGACTGTTTCATGCTGAACTTCATTCCAGTTGCTGACATCAGCTGGGATGGATGGGTCCCCTTTTCCTTTCCTCGGTCCAGTCCCCAGCCCTTAGAAGCAAATGAAATCCCAAATCATCCTTGCAGCCAACTGGTCTACCCTGCCAACTTCCACCTTGCAGCCATACACTGGTAATCTTTAGGGGACAAGTGGAGGGATGGGGGGTCTCTTCCTCTTACCTGATGAGGACTTCCTGTCCATGGCCAGCAAGGTCGGCCTCCACCTTCCCCCAGACATTCAGCACCTTCTGCCACTCCCCATCACTGAGCCCCATGGCAGCTTCTGAAGAGGACAAAGGATGAGTCAAAAGGACTGAGTGTGGGCCGGCTGTCAGCTGTGGTTTGAGGCCACCTGGCCCTGAAGGGCTTTTATACCTTTCCGGGTGTTAGTCTGGCCAGGATCACTGGGTGCCACATGCTCCTACTGCCACCCTCCTCAACCCCCCAGGGGTCTAATCTCTGCCTTTCTCTGGCCCTCACATGGGCAGCTATTTTGGGGCAAGTGCCATTGTGGGGAGCTAGGACAGCTTGGGGCAATAGGGGGTGGGGAGTGGGAACCAGCCAGGCCACTGTCTGGACTTGCACAAGCCCACAGAAAGGGCACCGAAGCCACTGCCAGCAGCTGAAACCCAATTCTCCCCCTGTCTGCTGCCCCAAGGGGACTTGTCATGTTTCTAAGCTTGGGCACAGGCATCCAGCTGGCCCCCAGAAGTCTCCTCTCACTTTCTGATTGCTTTTCTCTTTTATTAAATGTGTGTGTGTGTGTGTGTGTGTGTGTGGGTGTGCGCGCGCGCGCACGCACGCACGCACGCGCACGCGCGTGTGCACACACGCGTGCATGAGTACATGTGGGCCACGGCATGCTTGTAGAGGTCAGAATACAACTTTCAGGAGTTGACTTCAGGTCTTACTCGGAGCTTTGGCCTCGGTGGCCAGCTCTCATACTCCTGAGCCACCATGCTGCCCTCCGCTGACTTTCCTGATACTCCAAACCAAGCCAGAAGTGGTAAAAGGAGCCACAATGGATCTGCACTTTCTGCTGGACCACAGGTAAGTCTCTGAGCTAAAGGGCTCTGGGCCTGCTCCCTGCTCCCTGTGAAAGGTTGTGTTACCATGCTCCACGAAGCCTCAGCCCCTCCCCTTGACTTGTGATCTCCTATCTGCCCTTGCTGCCTCACAGGGCACTTCCAGCAAGGTGGTAGCTGCCAGCACTCCCAGAATCTGCCAGGCCCAGGCCCTCTTCTCTTTCTCTAGCTCTGGTAATCCCACAGGAGCCCTCAGGATAAATACTTATATGGGCCACAGGATGAATAACACAGCTGGTGTTTGATCCTAGTGAGTCTGGATCCCACAGTCCATGCTCTTGAAAACCTTATTTGGGAGCTGCAGAGATGATGGTTCAGTGGTTAAAGGCACTTGCCTCCAAGCCTGAGTTCCATCCTCAAGACCTGCATGGTGGAAGAAAAAAACAGACTCCTGCAAGTTGTCCTCTGAATTCTCTCTCTCTCTCTCTCTCTCTCTCTCTCTCTCTCTCTCTGTGTGTGTGTGTGTGTGTGTACACACAATCAACAAATATAAAAAATAAATTTTACAATATTATTTGGGATTTTGTGGGGGCAGTCAGAGGGTCTGCTTTATTTATCTGTGTATCTTTTGAGCCCCACACTGGGCCCTGCATAAAATTTGACCTGAAGAAATACTGTTGAATAAAAGATAGGTGGCTTTATAAGGAAGACAGAGGCTGAGCAGAGTTTCCATCTATCTAGTCATTCATCCTTCAACCTGTCCATTAGCCAGCAGCCAGCTATTATCCATCCAACCATCTGTCCATCTGTCTGTCCGTCTGTCCGTCCGTCCGTCTGTTTATCCATTTATCCCCACACATCATTCACCAAGCAATTATTACTCATCTATCAACCCATTTGTCATTCATCTATCATCCTTCATCCATTATCCATCCGTCTACCCACAATTTATTCATTATTTATCATCCGTCTACTACCCATCCTTCATTCATACACCACTCATCAATTATCCATTATCATCTATCTGTCTGTCTATCTGTCTGTCTGTCTATCTATCTATCTATCTATCTATCTATCTATCTATCTATCATCCATCATCCATCATCCCTTCATGCCCCCTCCCTCCCTCTACCCATCCATCACTTACCTACCATCTAGTTAACAGTCACAAAGTACACATGATGTGACAGCAACTCTGTCACAAGCTGACAAAACAAAATTAAGCACATCCTGTGGCCAAGAAATTCACAGCACTCTAGAGGAGAGTGCTCAGTGATGTGATGGACAGTTTTGCTTGTTTGGGGCTGTGGCAATTTGAATGTACTTGGGCCCCATAAGCTCATAGGGAGTGGCACTATTAGGAGGTGTGGCTTTGTTGAAGAAAGTGTGTCACTGTGGGGCAGGTTTTGAGGTCTCTTGCTTAAGCTTCACTCATTGTCACTGTCTATTTCTTGTTGCCTTCTGGTCAAGATGTATCCAGCACCATGTCTGCCTAATAGCGCCATGCTCCTTAGCTGCCATACTCCCTGTCACAATGATCATGGACTGAACCTCTGAAACTGTAAGCTGCCACCTCAATTAAATGTCTTCCTTTATAAGAGTTGCCGTGGTCATAGTGCCTCATCACAACAATAGAAACCTTAATGGAGACAAAGGTGTTCCAGTTTTTGTCTTGTTTTGTTTGAAGAAGATCTCACTATGCAGCCCTGACTGGCTTGGAACTTGTTATGTAGCCCAGGATGGCCTCAAACTCACAGCATTTTGTCTGCATCTGTCTCCCAAATGCTTGAACTAAAGGCATGTGACACCACACCCAGAGGTTTTTCAGGGTTTAAAGTGTCTGCCTGGCAATTGTCATTCAATTACCAAGTGAGGAAGGGGGCACTGTCCCATTTATAGCCTAGCTCAGAAAGAACAGGCCACACGAGTCTGATATTCTGGGCCTACCCTGGGTATGCCAACAGTGACTGCCCAACCTGCATGGCACTTTAGAGCAGTGGTTCTCAACCTGTGAGCTGCAACCCCCATAGGGTCAAGTGATAGCAAAGATCCTGCCTAACAGACATTTACATTATGATTCATAACAGTAGCAAAATTACAGTTATGAGGTAGCAACAAAAATCACTTTCTGGTTGTGGGTCACTACAACATAAGGAACTGAATTAAAGGGTCGAAGTATTTGGAAGAGTGAAAACCGCTGTTTAGAGAACCTGTTCTAGTGGACCCTGCTGAGGTGGCAGAGGGCAGCCACATTCTGGGACCACAGGATCCATCCCTCAAACCAGCCACCAGTCACGGTTGATGGGGCCAGGGATGATACCTGACTCAGGGCGGTTGGCAATAGGACTCTACCTGAATGAACAGCTGGGGCTGTGAGCTCTGCCAGTCAGAACAGGGCTGTGGCTAGAGTCCCACAGGCAGTGGGAAAACAGAACAGGAAAAGTGTGAAGCTCATGCCTAGACCTGGGAAGAATGCCAGAGCAGAGGGCTCTTTGCCACCCTGGGTCCCACACCCTCCCTCAGGGCTCTGGCGGGGGGGGGGGGGTCAATTCCCATGAGCCTTCACTTCCAGCATGACTCTGTGTTTGCCAGAGTCCTGCTCCAGAGGGGTTCTGAGCGGCAGGAAGGAGGTGTGAAGTCGGCAGAAATGAAGAGTGTAACCACTGGTTGTCTTTGAGACAGATGACCTGGAATAGCTCGAGCCATCTTAATACAAGTTCTAATGCATTCAAGCATGAGCAGTTTCAATTCATTTCTCTTTAATCATTTTCTGAGAATTGTTAGCATTTACCCATTTTAGTGTTTTTCTTCCCCCTCCCTTGACGTCATTAACTGACCTTTACCCAGTATCTAAGCATTAATTTTATATTGCAAGCCAGATGATTATAACTAGCCAGGCACATCTTATTGGTACTGTGCCCAGGCTGGCCATGCTTGTAACATGTGGTTACAAAAATGAAAGATATTCAAGCCCTATGATCAGTCCTTAACAAAATGATGCTTTTCTATTTTTGTAGTCAGCTGGGAGTATGATAGCATACCTAGAATATTTTTTCAGGTGTAAGTCAGTTTCTAAATGGTCTGCATATCCCTTTCCTGTGAGCAACAGCTGCAGTCCTATTCTTTACTCTCTGAATGGTAACAATTAATACCTGACTCTTAATTGCTGGGACCAAGTTTCTATTCTTCCTGCAAGTTTCTACTTCTACTTCCAAGGGAACTAGGAGTTCTAGATTCCTTTGTTGATATTTTGGTACTGAAAAAAATGTCTATTCATTCATGCCCTGGCACTGGAGAGACATCTGACCTTTCAGGTCCTTTATCTTTTCCTTACATGTCCCTGTAAATTTTTTTTTTCTTTCGAGACAGGGTTTCTTTGTGGCTTTGGAGGCTGTCCTGGAACTAGCTCTTGTAGACCAGGCTTATCTCAAACTCACAGAGATCCGCCTGCCTCTGCCTCCCGAGTGCTGGGATTAAAGACGTTCGCCACCAACGCCTAGCTGTCCCTGGAAATTTTAATGTCATCTTTTAAGAAACCGTCTCCTGCCTGGCAGAGGTGGCACACACCTTTAATCACAGTACTCTGGAGGCAGAGGCAGGTGGATTTCTGAGTTCGAGGTCAGCCTGGTCTACAAAGTTCATTCCAGGACAGCCAGGGCTACACAGAGAAACCCTGTCTAAAAAAAAAAAAAAAAAAAAAAAAAAAAAAAAAAAAAAAAAAGAAGAAAAAAAAAGGAAAGAAAAAGAAAGAAAGAAAGAAAGAAAGAAAGAAAGAAAGAAAGAAAGAAAGAAAGGAAACCATGTCTCAAGTTCTTGGAATATAGTTATCTTCTTTTTGGAACAGTTAAGAAAGCAAGAATCATTAGCCTTAGTGAATTCTTACTCAGGGTGACTGCAAAGGCCACCAGGGGTAACCAACCAGAGTGATAGATTACAAAGAGGCTTAATTTCCTTGTAGAAACTTTAGAAAAATCACCAGCTTTTGTTCTCAGTAAACTCAGCCACAATCACAACTGACAAAGCAAAACTAAGAATTACCATAGGAAAAAGCATAGCGAAAGTTTGAGAGGCCTGAAGCTCAGTACCGTTGCCTCCACAGGTCCCACCAGGTGGGTGGATTTTCCAAAGGCCTTTTCCAGAAGGAGCTCCACTCACAAAACATTGATGTACTGTTTCCAGAGGTTACAGTGTTCTTCCGGAATGTCCACCGCTTGGGAGGGAGGGAAAGGCAAGAATTCCTGTTCATGCCTGG